CAGCAACAAAACAACCTTCCTGCCAACCAACTGTTATGCACTGGAACTTTACCTTAGTCATGCTGCAGAGGTTGCACTTTCATCAGCGGACCCTCATTGAGTATATCTGCGTGTCTGGGACAATGAGTGACTGTGGGGATCAACTTTTTTTACCATGTCAGTGGCTGCTCATTCAAGATATGTGTACTGTGTTGTCACTGTTTAAAGAGATGACTAGAATGGTGAGTCTCTGAAGATGGGATCAGCAACATGATCGCTCTCATGTTCCTAGTTCCCACCTTTATGTGGTTGGAGTGAGATAGCTGAGGACATCGTTGCCCTCAGCAACATCTAGAACTTGGGTTCCTCTGCCACCGGAAATTTGTGGCAGATAGGCTTATTCATGATGCAGTGCCTACACAAGGACCTTAAGATTCAGACCATCAAAGAAACGGACCATTACTGGTTGACCACCCTTTTGGATCCACATCATACGGGGAAATTCCTCATCCTGCTATTACAGAGTGAGCAAAAAATGCACCATCTGGAAGAGATGTTGTGCAGGAACCTCTTTATGTAATTTCCAGAGAGTGAAGGATTCCCTTTTATGGCCATTGTGCCTCAAATCCTCAGATCGGTAAAAAGAAGAGCAGCAGTGGCAGTGACTGCATAAGCAAGGCTTTCAAGTCTTTCTTTACAATGTATCATCCTGGCCTAGTTGACGGCAGCAGTCACAGTAAGCACCTAACCCATATGATCTCTAATCATATGGGGTCCAGAGTGGATGTTGACACCCATGCTTCGGCTTTTGGGTGTCGAGGATGGACCGCTGGCCTGAGTTTGCACAGTATGAAAACGAGCGGCTGCTCTGCCCTGCAGTCAGGGTGCTTTTAGAATGGGAAGTTAGTGCCGCGAGTGGTTTTGTGACAAAAAAAATAAATAAATCTCCTGTCCCCAGACACAGTTGACAGGCTCAGTTTTATAAAAATGAACTAGTTCTGGATCAACAATGAGTAATAAGCCCCTGCAGTGTATGCTAACAATTACATTTTTTCTATAAATTTGGCCCCAAGAACATTATTTTACCATCTAGGATTGCTATCTCCTGCCACCACAGCTAGCCTGTCACCATTACATTCTCTTGCCGCTATGTCCATCTTCTGCCACTGCTGCTGTTTCATACTTTGTGTTTTCCTATGTCGCCCTTGAGTCACATAAAATTGAGGGCCCTCTCCCTGTTGAATGGTATTCATACAATTTTCTTGCATTAGTACAGGTTCCACCTGGCAGTGCCCAGCTCCCCATGCCCTTTGGTTGACAACCCTTTGTCGATTAACCTTGTAAATAAACAGAATTGATTTTCAAGATTTGTCTCTCATTGACTTCAGTGAGGTTTGCATAAATTTCACAATTTGCAAATTTTACGATGCGCTCTCCGTGTGCACCTCTGAATCAAACCCAAACACATTCACTCATCACTAGCGACAAGGTGAAAGACTGCAACAGTGGCTGATCCATGAAAGTAGAAAGTAGATGCTGACCCTGTATAATGCCTGAACAAAGATGGCACCGTCCTCCTGGAGAGAAAATAAGAGGAAGGCATTGAAAGATGGAGCATTATAATACATACCTGGAAGTGTTACACGTACGCTATTATGCACACATGCACACATGCACTTATAGCAATATAAGTAGTATTATACCCTCTGAAAAAAAAACAACCTATGAATTTTAATATCATCAATAAAGTTACTAGATACTTGTTTTTACATTTTAAATGTTTGTAAATAGATATTTCCCTTATCTTCCACAGGCACAGCTATCTGCTCAGGACCTTCTCTTCTCCCTTCACTTCCAGTTGGGACGCATGCTCAAAATATCTTCCCATGCCCAAGGTTGAAACTAAATGTGCATGAACTATTGGCAAGCAAAGAGTATCTGTGGGTCTTTCCTCCCTAACACTACTCCTGCGGAGGACCAGCAGAATAATAAGTAAGTGACTTTACTTTTTAATAATCAGTCACAGACTCATGGGCAGATCTCCAGTGCCCTGCATTTCACTCACGACTCTGAGGAGCCTGTGCATGTTGGTGCTCAAGGTGGCTGCACATTGCTTAGTAGTCCAAGCAGGGGAGTCGAAATGGTCCAGCTGAGAGCTGGTTGGTAGAAGGAGCGACTGCAGGAATGCAACGAATAAAAGAACTCCAGGTTTTTTTTTTTTTTAATATATTAACCCTTGTAGTGGGGCTACCGCCCGCACTGCAAGGGTTAAAGGAGAACTATGGGGTCAGGGCTTTTCACCATAGTTCTCCTAAGGGTCACGGGAGAACACAAACTAGCGTTCTCCTGTGACCCAAAGCTCAGTATACCACGTGCTACTGTCTGGATCCACCCAGCTGCAGGATTGACAGTTGGCTCTGCCTATCCAGAGGCAGAGCCAGCTGTGCCCGCCCCTTCCCCCGTCCGTTTCGCCAGTCAGCGCTTGAGGATCGGACAGGGGAGGAGGGGAATCCAGGCAGGGAGCCGTGAGTGACAGTCACGGCTTTCTGCAGGGATAGATCGAGAAGTGAGCGAGCGACGGTATGTGTTCGCTCACTTCCCAATCTACTGAGCCGACCTGTGACAGTTTAATTGTCACAGGTCGGCTCAGATTATGAGGCTGAGTGATTTTCACTTACCTCATAATTCTCCTTTATGTGCTCATTTGTGTCTAGGTGCTAAATTAACAAACTTATACTCACCTAGAGCTCCCACCTGGCCAGCTGTCAGCATTAAAATCTTCTTCAGCACCCTCATGTCTATACACAGTGTAAAGACTTGATGATTTATGGGACCTTAGACTGCTGCATAGTAGGGGGAGAGATGTTGGAATGTCTGGTCTAAGAAGAAGCCGGCTCAGAGCTTTGGGTGATTCTAACTTCTTTTTTTTTTACCTGAACACAAACAAGCACTTAACCCTTGGAGTGCAGCCCCACTGCAAGGGTTAATAAAAAAAGGTCTTCTTTAGAAATGCATTCAAGTACCTCAGCTTGTAACAGAAATTTAACTCTTTGGTGCATCAGTCGGCTGTAGATCCTCAAGTCATCTCTGAATTTATGCTGACACTGTCCTTCCTTCTGGAAGGTGCCTACTTTTATTCCCCATGGTTCTTGTGTGTGTCGTTAAGTAGCCACCGCTCCAAGCGTGCTCCTGTGATGGACTACAATCTCAATACAAAATATTAAACTAAACAGCTTGTAGTCCATCACAGGAGTGAGCTTGGAGCAGTGGCTACTTTAAGACACACACAAGGACCATGGAGAACAATAGTAGCCACCCTCCAGAAGGAAGGACAGTGTCAGCACCAATTCAGGGATGATTTGAGGATCTACAGCCGTGTGATATACAAATAAGATACATTTTTGTCAATAGTTAATAAGGTACTTGAATGTATTTTTAGGGTTTACATCCTGAGTTTAGTGTCACCTTACGTTTTACAGGCATAACTGAAATTCAGCATCTCACCATGACCTTAAACTTTCCCGCAATGTAACTTAACAGGGCTGCCATGGTAACAAGCACATATTAAAAGGGTGTTATTTAAAGGGAAACCTGTGCTGAGAGAAAATGCCTTGTGCACCACTATATTGGAGGTTCTGTGTTGCAGTGAAACAGCTACTGTTACACTTATTACAAAGCAATCTGCTGCCATCCTGACAGAAGTGACGGTGGATCATATAAATGCTGCATGCAATGTCTTGTCACAACACTGCTGCTTAGCTACTACTGTCTACCACTATGGTATTTTATGTGTATATAGTACATACAGTAAACATGGCCCTGTGTACAAGCACAGTGTGTATTAGGGGACTGTGGATTACCATTTTTCTCTTTTTTTTTTTATTTGCTGGAAATTAAAGTTGGATTTGTTATGCCTGATTACAAAATTGTACTTTATAATCCCACGGGAATTGAAAACCTAGCTCAGGGGACCTCTCTTTCCCACGCTGATTCTAAACATTCAGTGGCAGTGACATCTGTGTTTCTAAGGTTTTTCCTATTTTTCCTTTTAAAGTACTGCCACCCCTTCATCCCCCCTGGTCAGTATATCTTTTTTTTTGTTTCTCTAACATGGGAAATGTATTATAGAGCTTGATTCCATGTATATGCAGACTGGTGAGGCAAAGTGTTTAGCATGAGATTAAAATAGCTGCTTTTTTTTTTTTACTACGAGCAATTCTCTGCTTTCACTACAGTAAAATTAACCCCTTCCTCACACAACG